TCTGCACCCCCATCCACAGCTTATCTCTCTCCCATCCACATTTCACTTCTGCACCCCTAACTACAGCCCACCCCAATCCACAGCTCTCAACCTCTGAAACCCTTATGTGTAACCTCTGCACCTGCACCCCCCCCCCAAGCTCTCATTGCGCTTTAAAAATTTCCCTGCTCACTTTGCACAATCTATAACCCCCCTTCAAACTCTGACCTCTGCAGAACATCAACAACTTCTCCAAAGTTTCTTTGTACAATCCCCCCCCCCCCCCCCTTTTGACCTGCAGTTGCATTAGAGCAGTGCAGCTAACTCTGTTCTATTAGGCAGAGCTGCTTTTTTTAATCTGCCTAATGCAGTCTCATCCATGCAGCTCTGCCTGTCAGTATTAGTGTAGCACAAAGCCGAGGAGGCGTTTTAGAGTGCTTCACTTGGCTCCAAGCTACACCAAGCTGACATGCAGCAGTGGGGGGCTAGAAGCTACCTCTGGAATCCCCCATTAAATTCAGACAGTTGAATCTGGTCCCAGTTCATGGGTACCCATCAAACAGGCACACACCCTGGATTCTGGCTCTAGCATACAGAAGCAGGTTGAGAAAGCAAAAGGTTGAGTGGCATAGAAAACTTCCTCTACTTGCTTCTGTGGTATGTGACAAGCTGGAGAGAAGAAGGCTTCCAGATGTGATGGAATGGTGTTCCACCATGTTCCAGCAGAAATAAAGCCCTTGGCGTAAGCATAAGATAGTGTAGGCTTGGATAAACATGGTGACTTTTTTGTTGCTGTTTTCCCTCTGGAAAAATCTCCCTGTACCTTCTACTTAATGTTTAGAAATGGGACAAGATGAAAATGCTTTAAATTGAAAGTTAACCCCTTTTTAGACCATTGTCAATGCAACAGGTAAAAACTGGAAAAAAATATTTTCTGGTATATTTGACATCTGTTCAATTATGGATTTTCCCTCACTTTCTGTTGTACTGACATTGGTCACCAGGACAAACTAAAAAGGTGAATCTCTAAAGCAGGTTTACAGAGAGCAATAAAAATCTGACAAGGATTTTAATACTTCCTAAATCTCTCCAAAATGGAAAAAAGAAAAATAAATTACTTTGGATGTGGACATACTTAATCTCCTATTCTGGACATTCTCTTGTCCTTTAAAACAATTGGCATCATAAAAAAAAAGTTATTTTTCACAATACCGTTAAATTTACCTTGATTAAAATTATTTATACCATAGGACTTAAAGTGATTTTTATACATTTTGAAATACAACCTAGTGTCAAAAAACAAATTTTCAAGCAGTATTTTTGGCCACTGATCTGACTTTGAGTTTCCCATATTTCTAAATTTTTGCAGACATTGATAAAGCTGGTGACTCTGCATAGTAAATTATGGTGCGGAGAACTCAGCTATTTTTCATGCAAATTAATTGATGATAATAAGCAGCTTGAGTGGTGCCAATTTTGACATCATAGACATTATCGCGTTGAGCCAACATCAGATGGCAGCGTTTGGCACTCTTTGCTTTATGCAACATTGAGCTTTACGAGACAAATGCACTTTAGGCACATCTATGGGACTTCATTCTTGTTTCTAATGAAACGCTGTTCAGGACTGTGAAAATACTATGAAAATATTAAGCAATCTAATAATTAAGAGCCAAACCACAGTTTCATAGTATTATGACTGCATAAATGTGTGCAGCTGAAGCAGAGGCATAGCTTGCTTTTGCTCAGAGAATTAATCAGCAAGTGTAGCCAAACTGAAAATACAAACAAGCATGTTTCTTCTTTCTTTTTATTACAATCCAACATGGCATTTAGAGGTCCTACAAAGCAAACAAGAAGGTTTCCCTGCTTACTGTCTGAGACAATTATATGAAAATTGCCCACACTATGGTATCCCTGGTTCTATCCATACAATGTCTATTTCTTAAAAGGAAATATGACCTAGTTATTTTAAGTGTTACTGTGGCCATGCTTTGTACATTTAAATATCTACATTTTAAAAAGTAGAACAGGCCCTCACTGACCTCTGTAGCATCATGCACTGTGGAGTAATTTATTCCTAAAATATAACTAACCATCTTTTTAGTTTTGGATAGATTGGATATGGAGTAGAATGCCTGTTAGGGTGTTATTGTTGTCTGTGCCCCTGTTAAGGAGATTCACTCTCTCTCTCTATTTGTTCTGTTTTCTGATATAACCAAAAGTGAACGTAAAAGAAAAACTTACATTTTGGGTTCTGGTGACTTTAGTGACAACCAGGGATTCCTTCACTTTACATGAATGTTCACAATTCCTATTTTGTCTATGGAACAGGAAGTAAAGGAGAATCTCCCCAACAGGACACAGATAGCAAAAAATAAACCTTACATGGGGTTATGACCCTCTCTCATACTATCAAAAATGGAAAAAAACATTTTGCCTTTAGTTCTAACTTAAATCCCAACTTTGGGAAACAGAAAAATATTCCCTTGCAGTAAGACTGCACGCTGCAAGAGTTAATTGTTCATTTAGGCCTAAGGGACATAAAAAGGAAGATCTACCTGATCCTCTACACCTTGCCTTTTCTCCAGTGCTCCACCAGTCTAAGGTCCTAACATCATCAAGGCTGATCTAGGGCCATAGCCTTGCAGTGGATGTGATGACACCAAGGGACAGTCAACTGATGGAATGTGGGGGAATGCCATTTGTGGGGAGAGCACAGGCTCAGGTAACTTAAAGTGCTTCTCCTTTCTCCTAGACTAAACAAACAGTTAAGAGATAGTTTTCAAATTTTCCAGAGTTGGGCTTTAAAATTCCCAGCAGAAGCATTGCAGTTGTTCAAACCGCAGCTCAGCTCACCCTAGTACCCCTTTTCAGAGGTATTACTTTGTGTTTACATTAGAGATCAGAAGCCTGTGGGTCTACTGGGTCACTAATGAGGAGTAGCCGAGCTTCTCAGAGAAGATCATATTACCTTGGAAAGTTCTTCTGCTGTTCTCTTGGGGATAACTTCCTCCACAGTGCCTGCAGCTAAATAGGTCAGTAAGGGCTTGTTTTAAATGCTTATTTACAGCTAGTTAAAGTGGAATTCCAGTTGAAAAAAAAATAAAAGTTAGCAGCTACAAAAACTGTACCTGCTGACTTTTAAAATACAGATACTCACCTGTCCCTCGGTCCAGTGGTGTCCTCACCCACGGCTGGTTTCACCAGCCTTCTCTTCCTGGCGCCAGCATCTTCAGTGTGGGCACTCGACTGTGATAGCTTGTGGCTTCACAGCCGAGTGCCTACTGTGCATGTGAGTAGCGCTGCACTTTGTACAGGGGCGGACTGACAAATCATGGGGCCCCAGGCAATAGGGGATCATGGGGCCCCTGTGTCCTTGCCCAAACTCAAAAAAGCCTATGAAAACGGTACCAGGGGCATCTCATGGGGCCCCCTACTGACCTCGGGCCCTTGGGCAGTATCTGAGCTTCCAAATGGTCAGTCCGCCCCTGGTCCAGTAGTCTTCTGGGACCTGTCACATGTCCCAGAAGACTATGGGAAGAGAGGGGGAAGAACACCTTCCACTTCCGATCGCCTTGGGCGATTGCACCAGAAGTGGGAGTGGTACCTGTACAATTCAGGTACCTGCTCCCCTTCCCACTCCCCAAAGGTGCCAATCCCTAATGGGAAGCTGAGAAGGAAGCCTTGAAGTGGAACTTACACTTTTGGGTGGAGCTCCACTTTAACAATGTAAGCATAATGTAATGTAAATACTTGAATGTTCACAGCTTGGCTGCAGTTTCACATTAAATCTGAAGTAAATATATTACAATCCTTTGGAGCTCAAACTGAACATATGATAAAAAAAGACATAGGTGTTACATTTAATGAAAACTGAATGATTAGTAGGTCCAGAGATACAGGCAGCTAAAATTTCATGCAAATGAAAAATGTTTCTGTAAAATTCAAGCTTGGCCCTGGCCCTTGTTGCCTTTGGAGACTTTCTATTAGTCAGTCAATCAACCATAATTATATCAATCATATACCTGATCTATTCATCATTTTTACCTGCAGCATTCTCTTAAAGTGATCTTTGATTATTCATAGAGATTAAGAAATCAATTTGTGACAGTAATGACATTGTATCTGGGCTGTTTGCCAGAAGATATCAGTTCTCTACATCAGAGGTCTCCAAACTTTCTAAACAAAGGGCCATTTTACTGTCCTTCAGACATTAGGGGGGCTGGACTGTGGCCAGTGGGGGTAGGAGAGATCTCTGGTGTCATTTGTAGGGAAACACACCCCATTGTTGGTGTCATTAGGAGAAATGATGCACCATCATTGGTGTCACTGGGCCCCATCATTAGTGTAATTAGGATAAATTGTACCCCTTCAGTGGAGTCAGGGGGCTATGCCCCCTTGTTGGTATCAGTGGAAGGAATAGTGCCCCAAGTGCTGGAAAAAAGAAAGCAAAGGGCCACATCTGGCCACCGGGCCGCAGTTTGGAGACCACTGCTCTACATCATAGAACTCATTTAGGTCATGGGAACTAATAGAGTGGACCTAAGAACTTGACAAAAAAAGTAAAGTACACATCAGGCCCCAAAATCAGGAAGACTACACTCCAAGGGAATGGACTGCTCACCTTCTGGTGAACTCCACCCAATCGAATCCTACTCTTAATGCTGCAAGGGTTTATGGAACAAAAATGGCTATTCCTTGTCACATCAATGGCCTAATAAGGAAGTAGCATACTAAAGTACTATCCTATGTATATGTTATCTCCTAGTACAGCAGTGGTGGGATGGTATTATGTGGCCAGTTTCAATTTTGGTGAGTTTATGTATTGGTTAAGGCTTAGACAAAAAATATTTTGAAACCTCCGCATTAGGAATATTACTTATACGAGATGAGCGAAGTATTCAAAAATTCGAATTCGGCTGATTCGGCGAATTCGAGGAATAAATTTGATTCGATGCGAATATATTCGCTGCGGAATTTAACTTATAAAACGGTGTCTTCTAGGCTTCAGAGAGCCTTCATATTAGTGCAGAAAACACTGTACCTTTAATTTAAATGCCCTTGGAGTCTGCTGGGGAAGAGAAATAATACTGTCAGTCAGTATGACATGCAGATGAGTGCCGTCCATCTTAGAATCACCGCACACTTCACTCATTTGGGCAGTCACGGGGCCAAAAACCAGAGTGTGGAGCCACAGTGTGGCGGTGGAGGCAGCAGCAATGGGTGAGGCCAGTTACAGCACCCTATGACCAAAATGGAACCCACCAGCAGTGTGGAGGAGACCTGAAAGTGGCACATGGCAGAGTGTGGCGATGGAGACAGCAGCAATGGGAGGCCGTACAGGGGGACCCATGACACACTCTGGACCTGGCAGCAGCATTAGGAGGCGGTACAGGGGCCCATGGCAGATTACGGGCCTGGCAGCAGCAATGGGAGGCCTGTAATCTGCCAGAACCCTATGACAAAAATGGAACACACCAGCAGTGTGAGGAGACCTGAAAGTGGCACATGGCAGTGTGTGGCGATGGAGACAGCAGCAATGGGAGGCCGTACAGGGACCCATGAGACACTCTGGACCTGGCAGCAGCATGAGGAGGCGGTACAGGGGCCCATGGCAGATTACGGGCCTGGCAGCAAGCAATGGGAGGCCAATCTGCCAGCACCCCTATGACAAAGAATGGAACACCACCAGCAGTGTGAGGAGACCTGATCGTGGCACATGTTTGGGGCATGAATTCATGGCGGATTTAGTCAGTTGTGTCAGGAACTGGTGGTTTGAAATCCAGACTAATCCACGCCTGATTCATTTTCACAAACGTGAGTCTCTCCACACTTTTGCGGGTGGACAGTCGTGTCCTCCGCGGAGTTACAATACCTCCTGCCGCACTAAACACGCGCTCCGATGCCACGCTACTGGCGGGCCCGGGCTGACAGCCTTTCAAGCCGGCAAAAATTCAGCTTATGTTGGGGCCAAAGGTCAAGTTTCGTTGCCCAGTAGTCAGGGGATTGTCTACTCGGTTGGCAGGGGTGCTGTCCAAGTAGGCCAAGCCTGTTGTTTGAGGTCCTGCTCCAGGTACACCTGATGATGCTGCTGCTGCTGCGGTGCTGGTTAGTAGTTTCCTCACTGCGGCTGGTTGAAGAAAGCTACTCATCATCGACTGCAGACTGAGACAGCCAGCTGCTGGTGGAGCTGCCATGCTCCTACCACCCCACCCCTCCCTGCTGCCATGGCTAGCGGAACGCAAGCGCACAGGGCCCACAGTGTAGTGAGGATGGACATTGGCGCAGAAAAGGCAGAGGACCAATGACTACATAGGTGGTTTTTATAGTACGTTATTTTGGCCTCTCCTCTCAGCAGGTTGTGAAAAAGGCCACCATTTTTGGACGGTAAGCGAGGGTCCAACAACAAGGTGGACAGCCAAAAGTCATCCCTCTGTCTGATGGTTATTATTCGGCTGTCGCTACGCAAGCAACCGAGCATGCTATGGGCCATTTGTGCCAAGGAATGCGAGGGACTCCCTGCCTCCATCTCCACAGCATACTGCCACGGTGCGTTGGGTCCTCTGTCTCCTCCTCCTCTCCTCTACCGATGCTCCTGCTCCTCCACTCCTGTCTCGCTGCTGGGTGAGTGGAAAAACCAACATTTTCACTCAATAATTCATTCCTGAGCACAAATGTCCTCCTCTACCTCCTCCTATTCTTCCTGTCCTTGCCCACACAGGGGGTCATGTGAGCGTCTGAGATATGTGCACCAACGTCTACCGCACCCCTGACCAGCATTGTTATCAGCATTTGTTCCAGGACGTGCAAAACAAGAGGTATGACGTCGTTTCATTTCCCCATAGTCCTGCCGGAACTCACGAATTGCGTTGGCCTCCTCAAAAGGGCATGAGCAATAGCGGACAGGTGTCATGCATGAGCTGCCAATGGCCTGTACATCTAAGTTTACACAGGGGAGTACCTTTATCCGCTTGTGTAACAATCAGGAAATCGGTGATGGCCTTTCGCTGTTGTTAAAGCGGTCTGGGTCTAACATGTGTAGGGGTTTGAATTCCACCTTGTTGCAACGTCGCAGATCAGACGATGCTGTGTGAATTCCGTTCTGCCGCTGCAGCTTCAAGGAGGGGTGGTGCTCTTTGCGGTGTAGGGAATGGCTGAAATGCATTGCAAGAGTTTACGTGACATTTTTACGTTATGTCTTTTGCAGTGAGGATGGGGGATTTTAGGATGCCGCTTGACAACCAGATTGATAACACGGTGGAGCCATGCATGGCGCCACATGGGCACTACCTGCCTTGACGCAGAGCAGAACTCCATGTTCTTTCCGTTTGTCGGTCAACATGGTTCCGATTGTCAGTTTGCGCGGAGGACAGCCATCTGTCGATTTTCTCTGTTCATTACACTCTGAAGGTTCCTCCCCTGTGTGACTACGTTCGGCCCAAGCGCATACCAGGTGCAGCACAGCGTGACCACCGTTGCGCCCTGCACATGTGATATGCCGGGTCGGGGTAATGGGACTTGGCATGGGGTGGCGGCTGGAGAGGACACGGCGGAAGAAGAGGTGGTGTCGGTAGAGGCGGACATCTTTTGTGGACCAAGGACGTGCAAACGTGGAGGCAAAAGCGGCGTGGACCTGTCAAGTTTTGCTGGTGCGGCTGTGACGGCACCAACGTTCACCCAGTGGGCCGTAAATGACCATGTACTGTCCCTGATACCGTAGTGACAGCTCCAAACGTCAGCGCATGACGTGCACTTTGGCCAGAGGGACCGACATGCTCAAAGACTGGCACACCATCTCTTCTACATGTGAATGCAGGGCTGGCACTGCTCGTTTTGGCGCAGAGAGAAATTGACGGCTTGGCCGCTCTCCACCGCGGCGCAGGCACAAGCCATCATTTCTCTGTATAGGTGCTGAGTCCACCACTTGGAAAGGGAGCGGTCTGCCCGCACCAAGGCAAACTTGGACAGGAGGACGTTCAGCTTTTGCACACGTCGGTGGGCGCTGGCTACGCAAACTTGTTGTCTCTTGTAAACGGATTCGAGAAAGACTGTCTTAGACGGAATCCGTTGAAAGAGGAAAGTAGGCAGGAGACGGAGCATATGAACGTGCGGAGATGCCAACGAGCGACTAAACACTCCCCTCAGCAGAGGTGGTTGGAGCCTTGACTGGGCTGAGAGAGGGCGAATTGACGTCGGGGTGCGACGGAGCAAGTAACGGAAGCGTGTGATGGAGCGGGGGTGGCTGGGGCAGGGGCAGAACCGCCAATATCTTTATCACGGTTTTCCCAGGCCACCCACAATGGCGACGCTGCATTAGATGACGCTATCGCTGTTAGTCCCAACCATGGGCCCCCTGGGCCACGCTTTTGACCTTTCTGTCCACATAGTCGACATACGGCTACGTTTACTTACTCGGGCAGCTTGTACGAAAAAAATGTGACACACCGCCGAGTAGGAAACTTAGCCCCCGATTACTCCTCACTGGCTGGGGGGGAATGGGTGGGGGGGGGGTAAGGGGCGGGGGGGGGCTGCGGATAGGGGGTGGGGGGAGGGGCTACTTCCTACGTGGCCACACCGGCACCACTACTGGCCGTAGGTGGTCTGGTAGGCTGCAGTGAGGCTAGGTGCTTCTACTCCGTGGCCGTTTGCCATCCACTGACACTGCTGCGACCCCTGTGCCTCCTGGCTAACCCACAGACTGTTTTGCTCGCTGCCAAGCTCGGCAACACCTCTTCTCCTGATGATGCGGAGAGCAATTAGCATGATGACGTCGGAGGCTGGCCAATGTGCGATTCAGTCCTCATCATCATTCAATTAGGGTCTCCGCCCCACTACTAGCTCCCTCGGCTGCGTGTTGGGGCAGGAGACAGACCTTGTCTCTAGACCGGCTTACCGAGCCACTCTCCTCGCCAGTAGTACTTCTTCGCATGGCTGCTGAAGTGGCGGATGTCTCCCCCGTTCCTGGACAGCCCTATGTTAGCTCTTCCTCACTGTACAGTGTGGCTGAGCCCACAGCATGCGAGATACCTTCACTTGGTGAGGGAACGACCAAAGGGACAGGAGGCAGGTAGAGGGACACGGGGTGGATTTCAGTGGGCTTGCTCCCGGGGCCCATGCCTAATCTTAACGGTTTTGTGGTCTGACGTTACCCACCTGACCGTGGCAGTAGGCGTCAGAGGTTGACCTGGGAGAGAGGAAAGACGACCGATGGCCAACCCATCGATGACGGCAGTGGTTGTCGGTGGAGACACGTACCGATGGATGATCACCCGGGGAGCACTGGCCTCTGGGCTGCGACTAGTGCTGCCTCGACCCTTCCTTTGGCTGCCAGGTCCTGCTCGCTCCTAAATAACATGGCCTCCTTCTGACACTCCTCTGCGTTTTGTCTGACATACTCTTTTAATTCAACGATTCTGTGTCCTGAGTAACGATTCTGTGTCCCTGAGTAACAGTTCGGTGTGTCCCTGAGTAACAATTCTGTGTCCCTGAGTAACAGTTCTGTGTCCCTGAGTAACAGTTCTGTGTCCCTGAGTAACAATTCTGGTGTGTCCCTCCAGTAACAATTTTCTGTGTCCTCAGTAACAATTTCTGTGTCTGTCTCCTGAGTAACAATTCTGTGTCCCTGAGTAACAATTCTGTGTCCCTCAGTAACAATTCTGTGTCCCCTCAGTAACAATTCTGTGGTCTGTCCCTGGAGTAACAATTCTGTGTCCCCTCAGTAACAATTCTGTGTCCCCCTCAGTAACAATTCTGTGTCTGTCCCTGAGTAACAATTCTGTGTCCCTCAGTAACAATTCTGTGTCCCTCAGTAACAATTCTGTGTCCTCAGTAACAATTCTGTGTCTGTCCCTGAGTAACATTTCTGTGTCCTTCAGTAACAATTCTGTGTCCCTCAGTAACAATTCTGTGTCCCTCAGTAACAATTCTGTGTCTGTCCCCTGAGTAACAATTCTGTGTCCCTCAGTAACAATTCTGTGTCCCTCTCAGTAACAAATTCTGTGTCCTGTCCCTGAGTAAACAATTCTGTGTCCCTGAGTAACAAATTCTGTGTCCCTGAGTAACAATTCTGTGTCTCTCAGTAAACAATTCTGTGTCCCCTCAGTAACAATTCTGTGTCTGTCCCTGAGTAACAATTCTGTGTCCTCATAACAATTCTGTGTCCCTCAGTAACAATTCTGTTGTCCTGCCCTGGTGTAACAATTCTGTGTCTGTCCCTGAGTAACAATTCTGTGTCGGTCCCTGAGTAACCCTGTGTACCTCAGTAACAATTCTGTGGCCTGTCCCTGAGTAAACAATTCTGTGTCCCAATTCTGTGTCCCTCAGTAACAATTCTGGTGTCTGTCCCTCAGTAACAATTCTGTGTCTGTCCCTGAGTAACAATTCTGTGTCCCTCAGTAAACTATTCTGTGTCCCTCAGTAACAATTCTGTGTCTGTCCCTGAGTAACAATTCTGTGTGTCCCTCAGTAACAGTTCTGTGTCCCTCAGTAACAATTCTGTGTCTGTCCCTGAGTAACAATTCTCTGTGTCCCTCAGTAACAATTCTGTGTCCCTCAGTAAACAATTCTGTGTCCCTGAGTAACAGTTCTGTGTCCCTCGAGTAACAATTCTGTGTCCCTGAGTAACATTCTGTGTCCCTGAGTATCAATTCTGTGTCCCTCAGTAACAATTCTGTGTCCCTCAGTAACAATTCTGTGGTCTGTCCCTGAGTAACAATTTCTGTGTCCCTGAGTAACAATTCTGTGTCCTGTCCCTGAGTAACAATTCTGTGTCCCTCAGTAAACAATTCTGTGTCCCTCAGTAACAGTTCTGTGTCCCTCAGTAACAATTCTGTGTCTGTCCCTGAGTAACAATTCTGTGTCCCTCAAGTAAACATTCTGTGTCCCTCAGTAACAATTCTGTGTCCCTCAGTAAACCAATTCTGTGTCTGTCCCTCAGTAACAATTCTGTGTCCCTGAGTAACAATTCTGTGTCCCCTCAGTAACAATTCTGTGTGTCCCTCAGTAACATTCTGTGTCTGTCCCTGGAGTAACAATTTATGTGTCCCTCAGTAACAATTCTGGTCCCTCAGTAAATCAATTCTGTGTCTGTCCCTGAGGTAACAATTCTGTGTCCCTGAGTAACAATTCTGTGTCCCTGAGTAACAATTCTGTGTCCCTCAGTAACAATTCTGTGTCCCTCAGTAACGAATTCTGTGTCTGTCCCTGAGTAACAATTCTGTGTCCCGTGAGTAACAATTCTGTGTCCCTCAGTAACAATTCTGTGTCCCTCAGTAACAATTCTGTGTCTGTCCCTGAGTAACAATTCTGTGTCCCTCAGTAACAATTCTGTGTCCCTCAGTAACAATTCTGTGTCCCTCAGTAACAATTCTGTGTCTGTCCCTGAGTAACAATTCTGTGTCCTTCAGTAACAATTCTAATGTCCCTCAGTAATTAAATTCTGTGTCCCTCAGTAAAACAATTCTGTGTCTGTCCCTGAGTAACAATTCTGTGTCTCTCAGTAACAATTCTGTGTCCCTCAGTAACAATTCTGTGTCTGTCCCTGAGTAAACAATTCTGTGTCCCTGAGTAACAATTCTGTGTCCCTGAGTAACAATTCTGTGTCTCTCAGTAACAATTCTGTGTCCCTACAGTAACAATTCTGTTGTGTCTGTCCCTGAGTAACAATTCTGTGTCCCTCAGTAACAATCTCTGTGTCCCTCAGTAAACAATTCTGTGTCTGTCCCTGAGTAACAATTCTGTGTCTGTCCCTGAGTAACAAATTCTGTGTCTGTCCCTGAGTAACAATTCAGTGTCCCTCAGTAACAATTCTGTGTCTGTAAGTCCCTGAGTAACAATTCTGTGTCCCTGAGTAACAATTCTGTGTCCCTGAGTAACAATTCTGTGTCTCTCAGTAACAATTCTGTAGTCCCATCTGTGTCCTCAGTAACAATTCTGTGTCTGTCCCTGAGTAACAATTCTGTGTCCTCAGTAACAATTCTGTGTCTGTCCCTGAGTAACAATTCTGTGTCCCTCAGTAACAATTCTGTGTCCCTCAGTAACAATTCTGTGTCTGTCCCTGAGTAACATTCTGTGTCTGTCCCTGAGTAACAATTCTGTGTCTGTCCCTGAGTAACAATTCTGTGTCCCATCAGTAACAATTCTGTGTCCCCTCAGTAACAATTCTGTGTCTGTTCCCCTGAGTAACAATTCTGTGTCTGTCCCTGAGTAAAAATTCTGTGTCATGTCCCTGAGTAAACAATTCTGTGTCCGCAGTAACAATTCTGTGTCCCTCAGTAACAATTCTGTGTCTGTCCCTGAGTAACAATTCTGTGTCCCTAAGTAAACGTTTCTGTGGCCCTAAGTAACGGTTCTGTGTCCCTAAGTAACGATTCTGTGGCCCTAAGTAACGTTTTCTGTGGCCCTAAGTAACGATTCTGTGGCCCTAAGTAACGTTTCTGTGGCCCTAAGTAATGTTTCTGTGGCCCTAAGTAACATTTCTGTGGCCCTAAGTAACGATTCTGTGGCCCTAAGTAACGTTTCTGTGTCCCTAAGTAACGTTTCTGTGGCCCTAAGTAACGTTTCTGTGTCCCTAAGTAACGTTTCTGTGTCCCTAACTCTCTCCAACAATACAGCCAGGTCTGCCTCTCTTGAATGACTGGAGGCAAGCCGCACATGTCGCCGCCATTTTTCGAAAAATTTCGATTCGCGCATCCGAAGTCTGCTAATTTTCGGATTCGTCGCGAATCGAAATTTTCCTAATATTCGAAATGAATTCCACTTTGCCAAGTTCGATTCGCTCATCTCTAATTACTTACAGTCAATGAAATGGGGAAGATTTACTAAAACGAGAGCACTTAGAATCTGGAGCAACTGTGCATGGTGGCCAATCAGCTTGTTCAATCAAGCTTTGACAATAAAACCTGGAAGCTGATTGATTTCTATGCAGAGCTGCACAGATTTTGCACACTCCAGTTTTAGTAAATCAACCCCATACTGTCCCTTGTGTGAACGAAAGGTTCTCCTCCTCCATTCATAGATAGTTTTTTCATTCATACAAGCTTTAGTACAGACTATGAATGGAGGAGGAAGGTGGAGAGGGCAGGCATAATCAAAACTCTTGAAGAATACATATGACGGGTTCTTTGTCTGTATTAACCCCCACAGCACTGGAAGATTACCACTAGGGGGGTAGGAGTGGATCAGAGGATGGAAGATTTCAACTAAAGCAGCAACCAGCAGTTAAGGGACACATTGCATTGACTGTAAGTAATGTCACTTTTGCTGATTTTTCAAAAACCTTTTTTGACTAAGCTTAGGATTTAAGCATAACTCTAGGCAAACAGATACATACTTAGTTAAAATATATATAGGAATCTATTTTACCTGCAAAGGATTTTTAATAATGTCTAGCCAGTTTTGAGATTTACACAGCCTTTTTAAGCAGCACAGCCAAGCAGGTAATCGGTACACAAAGGTCACCTTCTTGTCCCCAGTCTATGATTAGATCATGAAGAAGCAGCAGCAGTCTAATAAAGTCATCACTCTGTCCACTCTGCTCTCTCCTCCTCTCAACATGTTCTATGCAGCACACATAAGTAAATGATTGTAAAGCTTTACATTTTGTGTATTAAAATAATAAACATGTCATACTTACCTGCTATGTGTAATGCTTCCACTTCTTCTTGGGTTCCTTTGGAGCTCCTCCGCCTGTCAAGTTCCTCCATAGGAAACCACTTCCTATGGGGGTACTCGTGCATGCTCAGTTCCAAGATAGGCTGTTTGTGTCTATTCAGACACACAGCTCATCTCGGCTCCACCGCCTGCTCTCAGGTTTAACTGACAGCAGCAGGAGCCAATGGCTCCTGTTGCTCTCAGCCAAGCCTGTGAGAGTAGGGAGGAGAGAAGAGATGCTGGAGATTTGCACAGCGCTGGATATAGATCAGGCTCAGGTGAGTATTTACAGGGGGGGGCTACTGTTAAAATGTTTTTTAGTTTAATGCAGAGAATGCATTAAGGTGCAAGAACATTTACCTTTACAATCACTTTAACTTTAGGTTTTGTCCTTTCCTCGCCCAATATGAATACTGTAGTCCAGGGAGCTACAAGCTGATACCAAGTTAATTCAGGTACTAATACTAGCTGCATCCTAAAAAAATAAATGTAACATTACTATTATTTTAATGAAAAAATAAGTGTATTCCGTGGTGTTTTTTATTTATCTGCTTAGAGTTCAGCTTTAGAAAAATGAGTCTGTGAATATATGACCTTGAACATCCCAAACTACTGTTTAATACTGTTTTTTTTCCACGTTGAAACATATTGTAATTGCAACAAGCATTAATAATAAGAAAAATGAACAAGATGTAGCTTAATGAAATTCAGCCTGTCAGCCCCATGCTGGCACAGTATACCAGCAGCATAAAGTTTTCAAAAATTCCATCAGTTTTGTCTCTGTGGAAAAGTCAGATTAATAACCAGCAGACCATAAAAAGTGTATTTGTTCTCTGTATGTTATTGGAGTCTCCAAACATTTTCTGAGAACACTGTAAATTTCATCCCTGCCGTGAAAGCATTTTGAACTTGCTGAGAAGTCCATCTACACAGACTGGTATTTGGGAACTTCTTAGGCATAACAAGAGAGAGAGCATGGATCTGCCAACTGCTAGAAAATAATATCAGTTACAACTCCATTGTCTGCATTATCCTTCCTGACAGCTTTTATGTGTCATGTGATGGTATCAGATTATCACTCTGCATAAGTGGCTGTCTAACCTAAAATAAAAAAATAAAAACAGCTATGTGCGTGACAATGGAAAATAATGTCTCTTGTCATTGCTATATTTTACTATTAACCATTTAAGTCCGGATACTTTCACCTCCTTCTAGTCCAGGCCAATTTTCAGCTTTCAGTGGTATCACACTTTGAGTGAAAATTACTCAGTCATTCAACACTGTACCCATATGACATTTTTATCCTTTTTTTTTAGACAGATAGAGCTTTGTCTTGTTGGCATTTGATCACCACTGTTTTTTTTTTTTTTTGCTATATAAATAAAAGAATACTGAACATTTTCAAAAAAATCACTTTTGCTTAGTTTTTGTTATAAAACTTTGCAAATAGAAATTGTTTCTTCATAAAGTTAGGCCAAAATGTATTCTGCTACATTTTTGTGATAAAAATAACCAAAAACAGTTTATATTACTTAGTCTGTGTGAAAGTTATAGAGTCTAAAAACTATGGGATATAAATTTGAAAATTGATCAGTTGAGATCCTGAAATGCCAGATGCTGGTATGGCATATGGCGGTGATCAGGGCACTGGTATAGGGTATGGGGGTAATCAGAAGGCTGGTATGGGGTATGGTGGTGATTAGGATATTAGCATAAGGTATGGTGGTGATCAGGACGCTGGCATGGCAGAAGCCAGGACACTGTTATGGGGTAGAAGGGTGATCAGGATGCTGGTATAGGGTATGGCAGTGATCAAAACGCTGGTGTGGTGTATGGCAGTGATCAGAACACTGATATGAGGTATGGGATTGATCAGGATGCTGGTATGGGGTATGGCAGTGATCAGAACATGGTACGGGGTTTGGCAGTGATCAGGATGCTGGTATGAGGTATGGCAGTAATCAGGATGCTGGTAATGGGGTATGGCGGTGATCAGGGAGCTGGTATAGGGTATGGCAGTGATCAGGGAGCTGGTATGGGGTATGGCGGTGATCAGGATGCTGGTATGGGGTATGGCAGTGATCAGGATGCTGGTATGGGGTATGGCGGTGATCAGTGAGCTGGTATGGGGTATGGCAGTGATCAGAATGCTGGTATGGGGTGTGGCAGTGATCAGGATACTGCTATGGGGTATGGCAGTGATCAGGATACTGCTATGGGGTATGGCAGTGATCAGGATGCTGGTATGGGGTATGCAGAGCATGTGGTGGTGATCAGAACGCTGGTATGGGGTATGGCAGTGATCAGGATACTGCTATGGGTATGGTGGTGATCAGAGCATTGGTATGAGGTATGGTGGTGATCAGAAGGCTGGTATGGGGCATGGCAGTGATCAGGACACTGGTATGGTGATGGGGTGATCAGAATGCTGGTACCAGCACCCCATCAACGTTTGTCACAGTGTACACCTGCACAAAAAAACTTCTCCAACAGTGAACAAGAAGATCTGTTACAGTGCACCAAAAAACCACTGTGCTACTAGTGTCCCATCAACTTCCTTTCTGATTTTTAAAAGATTTTGATCGAATTCGAAATTAAATTTTTTTCCTCTGCTGATTTAAGCTGGCCATACATGTGTAGATTTTTGGCCAAGAATATTTGTAAGAAAGGTCGTATGAAAATTCTTTGTACATTCGATGAATGGATGAATGTCGTTCGAAAATTGTCTTTTCCTTTTAACATTCGATTTTAAATGAATGTAATTTCTGAACAAAAACCACATACACTGGCTGAAAATTCTTTTGATTGAGAAAAGTTTTCCTTCCTGCCCCTTCGAATTTTTCCATCACTGCTGTCGAAAACAAACCTTAATTTGACCCCACTAACGGTTGGAAAATCAAATGAATATTCTTGAAACTTATATTCTCAAATGAAAATCTAAACATGTATGGCCAGCTTAGCATGGAAACGCAACAGGAACCCAGATGTCCACAATTGAGGTAAAGCAAATAGAGAAAACGCAATGGACAGCTTCCAAAACACACTGAAATGCACCGGAATGTACAGGTGAAACTCGAAAAATTAGAATATCGTGCAAAAGTTCATTTATTTCAGTAATGCAACTTAAAAGGTGAAACTAATATATGAGATAGACTCATTACATGCAAAGCAAGATAGTTCAAGCCGTGATTTGTCATAATTGTGATGATTATGGCTTACAGCTCATGAAAACCCCAAATCCACAATCTCAGAAAATTAGAATATTACATGCAATCAATAAAACAAGGATTGTACATAGAACAATATCGGACCTCTGAAAAGTATAAGCATGCATATGTACTCAGTACTTGGTTTGGGCCCCTTTTTCAGCAATTACTGCCTCAATGCGGTGTGGCATGGAAGCTATCAGCCGGTGGCACTGCTGAGGTGTTATGGAAGACCAGGATGCTTCAATAGCGGCCTTCAGCTCTTCTGCATTGTTCGGTCTCATGTCTCTCATCTTTCTCTTGGCAATGCCCCATAAATTCTCTATGGGGTTCAGGTCAGGCGAGTTTGCTGGCCAATCAAGCAGAGTAATCCCACGGTCATTGAACCAGGTTCTTAGTGCTTTTGGCAGTGTGGACAGGTGCCAAGTCCTGCTGGAAAATGAAGTCAGCATCCCCATAAAGCTCGTCTGCATAAGGAAGCATGAAGTGCTCCAAAATCTCCTGGTAGACGGCTGTGTTGACCCTGGACTTAATGAAGCACAGTGGACCAACACCAGCAGATGACATGGCTCCCCAAATCAACACAGACTGTGGAAACTTCCCACTGGACTTCAAGCACCTTGCAGTGTGTGCCTCTCCATTCTTCCTCCATACTCTGGGTCCTTGGTTTCCAAATGAGATGCAAAAGTTGCTCTCATCAGAAAAGAGGACTTTGGACCTTTGAGCAACAGACCAGGTCTGTTTTTCTTTAGCCCAGGAGCGGCTTGACAAGAGGAATACAACATTTGAAGCCCATGTCCAGGATCCGTCTGTGTGTGGTGGCTCTTGATGCACTGACTCCAGCCTCAGTCCACTCCTTGTGAAAGTCCCCAACAATTTTGAATGGCCTTTTCCTGACAATCCTCTCCAGGCTGCGGTCATCCCTGCTGCTTGTGCACCTTTTTCTTCCACACGTTTCCCTTCCACATAACTTTCTATTAATGTGCTTTGATACAGCACTTTGGGAACATCCAACTTCTTTTGCAATTACCTTTTGAGGCTTTCCCTCCTTATGAAGGGTGTCAATGATGGTTTTCTGCACAACTGTCAGGTCAGCAGTCTTTCCCATGATTGTGATTCCTACTGAACCAGACTGAGAGACCATTTAAAGGCTTGGGAACCCTTTGCAGGTTTTATGGCTTAATTAGCTGATTAGAGTGGGACACTTTGAGCCGAGAATATTGCACCTTTTCACAATATTCTAATTTTCTGAGATTGTGGATTTGGGGTTTTCATGAGCTGTAAGCCATAATCATCACAATTATGACAAATCATGGCTTGAACTATCTTGCTTTGCATGTAATGAGTCTATCTCATATATTAGTTTCACCTTTTAAGTTGCATTACTGAAATAAATGAACTTTTGCACAATATTCTAATTTTTTTCGAGTTTCACCTGTACATGTTCTGATTTTCAGTGAAGAAAAAAAGAGAAGAAAAACGTACCCGAAAGCTTCAAAATTGCATAGAAAGTGCACTGGAATACATGGTAATGCACCCAAAATGAACTGGTTTGAACATAAATGCACCCAAAATGCAAGTAAATGCATGCAAATGCACATGTCCTGAATCAAGGTGAAGAAAAATAGAGGGGAAAAAACTGCTGGGATGCATAAAAATGCATGCAAAAAGCAGCAGAATCCACAGAAGAGAGGAATGCATAAAAACTGCATCAGTGCATCGGAATGCGTGAACCGTCCCTTATTGTCTGTCTACCACCAGCCATTGACACTCACCTATGCCCAACCACTGACACCTATCTACCCCCAACCACTGACACCCCAGACTGACACCCATCACCCCAAACCACTGACATCTTAAACTGAAACCCACCTAGCCCCAACCACTGACACCCCAGACTGACACCCACCTACTCCCAACCACTGACACCCCAGACTGACACCCATCTACCCCCAACCACTGAAACCCCAGACTGACACCAATCTAACCCCAATCACTGACACTCCAAATTGACACTCAAATACCCCCAACCACTGGCACCCAAAACTGACTTCCACCTACCCCCAACAACTGACATCCACCTACCTCCAACCACTGACACTCACCTATCTCCAATGTCTGACACCCACCTTCCCCCAACCACTGACGTCTCAAATTGACACCCACCTACCCCTAAGCACTGACACCCCAGACTGACCACTGACACCACAAGCTGACATTCGCCTACACCTAACCATTGACACCCACCTACCCCCAACCATAGATACGCCAGACTCACCTCCCACCCAGCCACTGACACCCACCTATACCCAACCACTGACATCCCAGACTTACACCCACCTATCACCCAGCCAACCACTGACACCCCCATAACTGACAACAACCTACCCCTAAGCACTGACACCAGCCTAGCCCAAACCACTGACACTCACCTACCTCCAACCACTAACATCATGTCTCATTGTCAGTGCTCAATGGGTGTGATAATAGAACCCCAGCATTAGTGTCATCAACATATCAGACCCCCATGGTCTTCATGCTTTTTAAAGTAGAAGAATATCCTAACTATACTTATTCTTAAAAATGCCCCCCCTACCTATCCTATATAATAAAATGATGTGTGTGCTTACCTATTTTTAATCCATTCCAGTCACATGATCCTGCAGCTCCGACTCCTCTGTGTCAGTGACTGGCTGCTGCAGGGGAGAGGAGGGAGGACCAACAATGGCTGGGCCATGGCCCCTGGAATTCACAGCCATTATTGAGCACTCCCTTACACAGGAGAGTCAAAGCTGTGGGATCACATGACCAGACCAGATTTTTTTCTCCGGGTTAGGCAGGATAGGTAGGAGGAGGGGGGAGGGGATATTTTTAATGAAACGTTAGAGTTAGGCTTTTCTTCAACATTAAAGCTGAATTCCAGGAATTCAGCCGCTTTGTAGTTAGAAGGTCCGGCATCATGCTCCCAGAACTACATCGATAGCTGACTTCCCAGAGTTCTATATATCTGTCAAATAGAATTATAGCGATGGGACAGCACAGTGGCTACGTGGTTAGCACTTCCGCCTAGCACTAGGGTTGTCAGTTGGAAACCCAACCACGGCACTAGCTGCCTGGAGTTTGCATGTTCTCTCTGTGCCTGCGTGGGTTTCCTTCGGGTACTCTGGTTTCCTCCCACACTCCAAAGACATGCTGGTAGGTTAATTAGCCCTAGTATATGTATGTATGTGAGTTAAGGACATTAGATTGTAAGCTCTTTGGGGGTGGACACTGATGTGAATGTACAATATATATATGTAAAGCACTGTGTAAACTGACAGCGCTGTATAATTACCTGTAATAAATAATTAGGTTAAGGAGGTGTCAGGCATCTGCTGTCACACTTTGAATGACAATTGTGCAGTCATGCAACACTGCACATATATGAAATTTGTATCATTTTTTCACACAAATAAAGCTTTCTTTTGGTGGTATTTAATCACCACTGGGGTTTTTTATTTTTTTCACTATAAAAAAAAAAGCAAAAAAAAAGTTTTTCTTGTTTTTTATTATAAAATTTTGCAAACTGATGTCTGTTGATGAGGCTGCACTGATAGGCAGCACTGATGGGCACTGATAGGCAGCACTGACGGGCACTGATGAGGTGGCACGGATAGGCACAAATGCAATGCATTCTATGAATAGCACCTGTGCCGAGCGTTTAGCCTCCTGCATTCACAATGCAGAAGAGCAGCCACTAGGCACAGCTTCCAGAAGCAAGTATGGAGATCACTGGAGTAGTGGTGTCTACTTCAGTTATTTCCACCTTCCAGGGACATTGGCTAGGTATGGTATAAACATAGTTACAGTTGCAAGAAAAAGTATGTGAACCCCTTGGGATTACGTGGAGTTTTGCATGAATTGGGCATAAAATGTGCTCTGAATGTCATCTAAGTCACAATAGAAGAACACAGTCTGCTGAACATAATACTACACAAACATTAGATGTTGCCATGGTTTAATTGCACATAACATGTAAACATTCCCAGTGCAGGGAGGAAAAAGTATGTGAA